CTAACTGAGTGTAGCTGTGGGATTTGTGTTTGGGGAGTTCCCCAATGGAACGGCCATCAATGCAATGTCCCACTTGGCACTGTGCACTGCGGGTTGTGAGGTCGGCTTGACAGGAACTGGCACATATCAGCGGACGGCTATTCAGATTCAGATGGCCCGGTGCACGCCGGTCCTCCCGGTGCGTCTGCCGGGGCGGTGCACATGCGCAATGATGTTTTCTTTTGCGTTGAGTTCGGGGCGAGAATCTGCTGAATGAGGTCCACGTGAATCGGACTTCGCCTTGCAGCGGCTTTGCTGGCCATTTGGCACAGGCGCTCTTTCAGGTGGCCTGGCCACACGCCGGTTGATTTTGTTTTGCGCACTTTGCGTTGGAGCCCGGAAGGCGGGACCAACATGAACATGGCCCATGTGTCGGTAGCGTAGGGAGGTCAGGCCCGCATAGAGCTCTAGCAGGTTGAATCACCACACATAGCCACATAGCGCATCGCGCAAGCGGGCGCCTCCAGAAACACGTGATGGCAGATAGCTTGCGGACTGCGACCTGCTCCATCGAAACTCAGCTCTTAAGTGCCAGACCATTGTCACAGAAGGAAATTTATGTGCCAGAAAGGTGCAGCTTGCGTGTAATGAAATTGCAATGCGCCACGGGCTTACAGTCTCTTTCGGCTTTTTTGCCAGTGCGAAACAGGTTTTCGTCCTTCTATAGCTTCCGTGTCAATCTCCGGCAGGAGGGTCACGTGGGGGCAGGTGGATTCAGATTCAAGAGCATAGTCGCATTCGGCTCCGCAGGCAGAAATTGCGGATCCAAAGTCGATATTCAACGTCTGCAACTTTGGGCGCTGCAGGTGTGGGGTCTCAGCTTGGGGTCAGCCCGGAACGCTTGCAGGCTCATTGTGGAAATTGCGTGACTTTGAAGATTGCTTAGCCTCTCACAGCATGCGGAGTCTGATTTCCTCAGCCAATGCCAACGCTGCCCGCCAATACCTTAAAGCAGGTATTTTCACCTGATCACGCTGCCGCAATTAGCCTTAGCTCAATGGACGAGTCAGACGCACAAAGAGCATAGTGAGCTTAGCGAAATGCCCACGGTTGTCATTCTGACAAAACACAAAAAGCAGCCCGGAGTGTGGACAGTACATGAGACTGAAGGCTGCTCAGCGATGAGGTCAGCCAATTGCAGGATGTGAAGTCTGATTGCCCCCAATGCCAACGCTTCTCACGCATGTCTTTTTACCTGATCACGCTGTACCCGAAATTGGTGAACCTCCCATCCACGCCAGCTCTGCCATACCTGTAGTTGAGCCTTGTACCATCGGCAGGTGGCCTGCCTCAGCGTGCCAACAGGTGATCCGAAGCCGCGAAAGACGGCTGGGAACACATCGAGGGGGGATGGCGCAGCTGTGCGATCGATAGCCGTACGTCGTGCCGGATTGTACCAACATTCTGTTGCCAAGCCTTCCTGTGTCATTTCTTTTTCAGACACATTCAGTCACCCGATTTAGCTGATGGACGTGCAGAGGATGCGCTTTGCGTTTGAGCATTTGGGGGATCATTTGGCTAGAAGTGCTAGCGGCGTGCCAAACTTGCCTGACAGTTGGCACAAGCAGCCAATCAGACGAGCAGCCCTTGCGTCCATTTGTGCGCCACTTCGGCAGCAACCAAATGGCCGGTGTACTACTGTACTCGGGCCGCCAACTCGTGCCTTATTTAGAACTGCTGTTTGCAGCATGCGGAGCATGCGGCAAGCCAAGCAACAATCACAGTGGCACGCACAGGCGCCATGTGGTGCCACGGGCCCTCTCTGAATGCTCCATAGGGCCTTTGTGCGCGTGGCTTTGACCACAAACGAGTGCGACTCAGTCAAACTGCTGGCGAAAGCTCCCTGCGTGTAGCCAACGGCGACAACATCCCCCGAAGAGCATTTGGTGACACCCTGGGAGTTGACGCCCGAGCCTTGCTGGTAGCCCACCCAGTCATACCATTGAGTTCCGACAACCAAGAATAGCGGAGTGCCAAACCTGCCTGGCTGTTGATACCGAGGCGCTTCCATCATGTGCTTAGGAAAGCAATGGTTGCGGAGGCATGCAAGCTTTGTGTTTCCTTGGGTTTGCGCACCATGGCAACCTGCAAGGTCAATGATAAGTGTATGGTCAAGTTTAGGCAGAGATCACAAGCGATGCGCCGAGCGCCCAGGGACGTTCCACCTGCAAGCTTTGTTGGAAGTATCTAGTCCGAAAAAGTTGACAAATTGAATCCGACATCTTGGCCTTGCTAGCGACCAATGTGTTGAGACTCGTAATTCTGGCGCTCGCTTCTGCGCCAACACTCGGACTCGGATTTGGTTCTCATTTCGACCTCTTCAATGTAGTACGGGTGCCGTTTCGAGTGAGACCCACCCGAGACCTTTCAGTGTTGATGTTTGAAGCGCACCATGTGACGCACAATTCTGGACCTGATTCTCTCCAGCTTGCGATCTGCGCTGCATGCCAGTAGCTGAAACGCACATTGCCACAGCAGAATGACAGTGCAAAAAACAGCAATAGTCGAGGGAGCGGATGCCAGTCTGCGAGTTGACATGCGTCCCAGGTGGCTTGTAGCACGTGCAGAGATGAGCCCAGGCATTTGAGTTACGCAGCAGTTGTAAGAGCGCACTGCGTGTGGCTGAAGCTTTCTGCGCTCAACTGAGAAGATGCACAGCTCGAGGCTGACATTTGCACACCTCTATGGGTTTCTGGTTTGCAGTTGGCTCGCTCCGGCACTCTCAGAAGTTGCCAAATCTGTTGACAGGCTGCATCATTGACATGCCAAGCACTGTTTGGCTAAACTGTCACGATGTTTAATTCAGCTTGCTTGATCGGGAAGGCTGAGAAATGAGCGCAGCCGTTTGCCAGCGGAACCGAATGTCTCCAAATCCGTTGATCTTCAGGTGTAGCGGCTGCCAGTCCAGAATCACGAGGGAACATGCAAACAGATGCCTACGGGTGGATGCCGCTCTTTTCAAGCATACAAAAGGGCATTGCTAGTGAATCCAACATGTCTTAAACATCTTTGACCCAACTCATGTGTCCTTTTGTTAAACAAACCTTTTCTCTATTTTTGCGTAGAGAGGGCTATGACAAGCCGACATCGTTGCACCAGACAATAAGTGTTTTCTGTGCACAAAAAGGAACCTCGCACACAGCTTCCGGCCCTCGATACATTGTGAAGAAGAATGAGCACGTTCGGCCTCATAGCCAGTCTTCTACGGGACAGACTTGTCTCATTGCGACCAAATCTTGTGGCAAAGTCATGGCTTGGGCCATGCTTGTGGAACAAGTTGCGCGCGACGTTGAGCTCTCCGTGGCTTCGTTTGTGCTTCGTAGATTCATTGCTGCTGTGAGTGCAAATATAGGGGTGAACCTTGCTGCTCGCGTGAGTCTGGGTCATCCCAGACAGAGCAATGGGTCAGAAGAACAGGTCTGTGTGTGAAGCAAGATTACATTTGCGTCAAATGGTTCCGAGAAAGTGGTGTGGGCCGCAAAGGGATCGAGTCAAATAGGCCGAGCAAAGGCATGCGGACCTCGTTTCATATGAACGCCAAGACAAGCAAGACCATCCGGCACTCGCATCCATGTAAAGGAGCAAGGTGTTCACGCTAGGCTGGCGTCGGCCCCTTTCGGGTGAGGCTTGAGCTCGGCAAGTTGCCTCGGCATTGCACGGCTTTGCACAAAGCGCGGTGAGCTTTCCTCGTTTCAAGTGAGCAATTGGATGCAATTTGGCGAGACTCTCCTGCCCCATGACCTCTTGCAAGCCCAGCAGGTTTCGGCCGGATCGGCGCATTGCACCCAAGGTGGTAGAGTGAGTTCCAGGTCGTGATTCCACTTGTGATGTGGGTTTTTCATCGTTCTGCCTGCATGGCGTCGCTCGATGCCGGCAGAGCACGTTTCGCCGTCCACAAGCTGCACAGCAGATTTGCCGCCTGCTGCGCGAGTTTGACTCTGCCCTGGATGAATTGCTTGCTGCCCCGAGCTCAATGCACATTTCAAGTGGATCAACAGCAAAACAAGCAAAGGGCAGGTTCGTTAGTTTGCAGCCTGCTGTGAGGTACATGTGATGGGAATTGCAGCAAATCCAAAGGCACCCGGAGGCACACCATTGTCCAGTAACTAGTGCGAATGGGTGTCAAGGACTCGCAGTGGGGCTTCCCCGACCGCAAGGGCGTGATGCTACATTGTCTCTGCAGGATTTCGCGCTGGTGTCAAGGATGCGTGCCGGCTAACAAGGGGCGTAGTGCTGAGTCTTGATGTCGCTCAGGTGCGCCAGTGAAAGTGAGCAACTGGGCAAACCCCCGATGAAAGGTGCATGTCTGCGCTGCTGTATGCTGAATCTGCTCCAAACCACGCAAGATGGAGCAAAATCCCAAAAGCGATAACCCCAAGCGTCATGCGGAAGTAGCTTGAATCAAACACTTTGGGCATCAGGGAACTTTGCGTCCGGAAGCCCAGAGTATCCGGCGCCTGGAACGATTTGGTCCTCAGCCCAAGTGCCTCCATTGGGACCTAGCCTATTTGTGGATCCGTAGCTGTGGGCAATGCCTCACGGCTTGAAGCGCTTGTGGTATGCCACCACAGGCACCTTAGAAGCAAAGGGAAACTGGGAAACTGCAGATTAAGCCGATCAAAGGCATGTGCCAACATGCAGCTCCGCGGTCAGGGGTCATCTATATGGCTGAAAGCTTGCCCGGCGTGAGCCTTGGAAGTTCCTAAAGAGGGTGAGCCCTGTGTCTCACATCAACGGAAGCACTTGCGAGTTCACAGACCTCCAGGATGCTGCGCTCGGCCACCGCCCAGCCTCGAGTACACGTCTGGCACCCTGCGCTCCCTTGCCGGCAATCCATATGGAAGAAGCATCCCGACCGCTGAGTCCCCCCCTGCGCATTCCATCCTGTCCCAGCATGTGCACTGCGTGGCCTTGCCTGCGCCACTTGGCACGTCTCTTTGAGCGCGGGAGAAAGGCAGTGCATGCAGTGCGCGCAGTGCGCGCAGTGCACGCAGTGCACGCAGTGCACGCAGTGCACGCAGTGCACGCAGTGCACGCAGTGCATGCGAAGAAGCTGCGCTCACGCCGGGCGTGGGAGACGTGAGACATGCAAGCTGTACGCGAGGCCGAGAACCCACACCTTGGCTGAGCTTGGTGTCTCAATGGCAAGTTGGAAGCGGGCTGCGGCGGCCAAGAAGTTCGCAAGCCGTGCTGTTTCTAAGGTAAGCGGGGGCATGTTCTCCATGCTCGCTAAGGCCTACGCGGCAGACGAATGGGACAGTGCATGATCAGCAACGCAAGTGCAAAGACGGTGGGCGCATTGAGCCAACAGCGCACCATCAAACTTGATGCACTTGCTATTGCACAACGATTCTGGGTGCTTGCTGACAGGCTTGTCGTATTACATCTGTGATGAGTGCTGGTGTTTCCTTCAAATTCTATGCGCCCGCAGGAGCAAGCCCTCTATTGAAACCGTCTTGAAGCATTGCACAGGCGGAGCGTGTATCCCGGATGATTTGCACCTCTTGCAGCAAAGCCAGCCTCATGCCCCAATCAAGAGCCTTGATTTGCATCGGCTTTCTCGGCCATGTGCCCCTCACGATGCAGTCGATCCGGAAACGGATCTCACACGCAGCTTTTCGCTTTGCTTCAGTGGCTTTTGACTTTCGGTATGTTCAACTTTGCCTAGCTGTTGTGCGCGGAAGGCGCCAAGTGTGGTTCTCCTGACAGAGCTGGCTTGTGCGCATTGCTTTCAACTGTCATTGGCCGGGCTTCCGCTGCGTGCCAAGCCTTTGGTTATCTGTGGAAGTGGCGTGTCGCCTTGTAATATGCCTGCAGGCTGTGCACTAGCTAAGCAATGCCAGCGAAATTGCTTCTCCGCTACAGCAACCGAAGTGCAAAATGACGCGCCCCATATTTTCTTGACACAATCCGGACATGGGACGCTGCACATTTGCAGGTTTGCTTTGCCCAGCCAACTGGCAGCGCCACGCTTCCTGAGATGCTTGACGTCCGGGTTTCAGGCCTGTCGCCTTCCCGTGCAAAACGGGTCGCCATCTGCATTCTGCCTGACCTGAAGAGACCCTGCCGTACAAGCGCTGCATCAGCACCTGGTTTTGGGAGCTGTTGATAGAGTTGTAAGTTGCCCGGCACGGTGATGATGCAATACATTCGGCTGACAGTGAAACTGCCGCTCCAATACAATCTGAAATGGCATTGGCTTTCTGGTTCTTGCCACCAGCAACTAGCCTGTGTTTCCTTGCATTGCCAATGTGGCTGCATCAAAAAGAAGCGGAGAGACCGCGAGTGGCATGGTGCGGAGACATCGTTGCAGCGAATTGCGTGCAAGGAGAGAGTGTATTGATCGGACTTGTTTGTAGGGGTTTGCCATGGGTTGAAGACGTGGCGATGAAATGACGGAGCATGACTATCATGAAAGCGGGGGTAAGATGTTGTGAATGGTCGATCTGCAGTGCATTGGCCCAAAGCATCCCTTGTTGCGCACGCCAACATGAAGGCGGTTCTGCTCCTTTTGGCCTTGGCCAATGCAAAGGAGCTCACCAAGGATAATTGGGACGAGGCAGTCAGCGGCAAGACTGTCTTCGTGAAGTTCCTGGCTGCTTGGAGAAGAACGCAGAATACATGTCATGTGCGGTTCAGTGGTGTCTGTGCCTGCGAGTGTGCGCAGCTTGTTGAGTGGGCTGTATCATTGTTGAGATTTGAGGCTCCTTGGTGAGGACACTGCAAGAAGATGAAGCCTGACACTTGGACATAACTGCATCGAGGCTTGATGCTTTCCAGGGCCTTTCTTTGGGTCCATAGCGACATGTCTGCAAGGATTGGGACAAGCTGATGAAGGAGTATGCGTCGTCCTCCTCTATCCTCATCGCAGATGTTGACTGCACAGCCGGTGGCAAGAGCAAGTGCGAGGAGGTCGGCATCAAAGGCTATCCGACCATCAAGTATGGCGACCCAGACGACCTCCAGGACTACAGTGGTGGCCGCTCGTTTGAGGACTTGCAGAAGTTTGCGAAGGGCCTTGGACCAATGTGCAGTCCAGCTAACCGAGACCTTTGCAGCGACGAGAAGAAGAAGCAGCTTGACGAATACATGACTCTTGACGCATCCAAGCGCGAGAGCATGATCAAGGAGAAGGAGTCTCAGATCGAGAAGTTGGAGTCCGACTTCAAGACCTTTGTAGATGGCCTGCAGAAGCAGTACCAGGAGGGCAGCGACAAGAAGGACAAGGACGTGGAGGCAATCAAGTCTTCTGGCCTTGGCCTGCTAAAGGCGGTGCATTCTTATGCCAAGAAGCAGAAGGGCGAGCTTTAGTAAATTTAGAGATTAGAAGTTTGCGCGTGCGACATGTCGAAGTGTCGAACTGCCGACATGCTCGCTGTTGATTGGTTGGCGCTTGAATTCATGAGTTCTGCGATTGAGGCTCGGCGAGTGTTCCAGCGGAATGCCGGTCTCTGTTTTCAAGCGTTTCACCAATGGGGCTAGGGCTTCGACCGTTCGGCCAGCGCAAGCTTTGACCGCTGCATAAGGCACAGGGCTTGGGCTGTGGTTCGCGTTGTGTCACGTGAGAGATGCATGAGCAAGCAAAGCCATGTGTTGAAAGCATGGCAAGGCCACGTCAATGCTCGAGCAGAATCAATACCCTCACAGAAGCAACGACGCAGAAGCAGAAAAGATGCATACTCCTAGCAAGTAGGGAATTATACAGCACTCCTCTTGTGCACACACACTTGAGCGTGCCTTTGTCCTGTGAAGCAAGACAGGCTCCAGTTTGCCTCGCTGAGCCGGATGGCCCGCCAGGCGTCAAACACATATTGCAAATGGCTGCACTGGCTGCAAAGTTGGCAACCGTTTGCGAGATTCAAGCTTTGATGCTCTGATGCATGTGGCGAACTTGTCAGGTCAACGGCCCAGTGAATGCGCACCTTGCGCAGGGCGGAGGCAACGTGGCTTCATGGCAAGAGTGCAAAGCAGTCGCCTTCCAGGATATCGGAGAGCCACATATGTACAAAGCCAGCCAGTCTTAGCCAGTGCCGACCTGTTTTGTCATGCATCCGGCTGCGTCAGTCTGCCGAAACTGATCCAAGTTGACAGGGCATTCGGGCATTCCCTGTTGCCAGGTGGGCCCGGTCCCTGTCTCCAGGACCCAGTCCTTTTGCTCATGGACTGAGGTCTTTCGCTTTTGCGTTCTTTCGGTCTTTCGGCATGGCGTGTTCCTGGCTCTTAGGACATCTCCGGCGATACCGGTCCACCAAGGCGGGTGTTGCGAGCGCCTCTTCGACGAGCGATGCATCCAATGCATCCAATGCATCCAATGCATCCAGGTCCGTGGATGCCTTCTGAAAGCCCAGCCGACAAGCAAACGCCACCAGTCCGCCAAGTCTTTCACTCGGGCCCTCATTGGACTGGATCGATTCGTTGAACTGGATTTGCGCAGGTCGGTGCTGGAGCGCTGTTGGCTAGGGGGTGCCGTTCCAATGTAGCAGATTGGACTGACGGGACATTGGAAGTTATGCCGGAGGCTTTGCAGACAAAGCACTGGAGAGAACCTCCACAACTACTTCGATTGTGGAAGGAGGCAGTGTGTTTGAATGCCTGGGCTGACTGTGTTCTGCTGAGTAGGCGCAAGATTGAGCAGAAAGTCGAGCCCCAGAGGCCGCGAAGTCCAAAGCGATTGATTGCGCCCACACCTCGGGACCTTGACCAACTTGACCTCGATCCTGCAAGTCCATTGTGTCGAGGTCACCTCGTCCGTCTTTGCAGGCTCTGGTGGTGCATTTTGAGGGCCAATGATGGGCATGAAGCTCCCTCAGGAGGCCAGTGACGCGGTGGATTTGCAAGCGTCTTCGCCGCGGGGCAAAGTGGAGGCTATCAGAAGTGCCATTTCAAATGAATCCACAGTAAGTGAAAGTTTAAGAGGTGTGGGCACATCCTGGGAAGACGGTGAAGCACTACGATATCCGGAGGCATCATTTGCATCAGCAGTTGCACCACGGGCCCGAAGCCTAAAAAGCCTAAAAAGCCTAAAAAGCCGAAAACACCCCAAAAAGCCCTTATGCGCTCGACATGCGCTCCGATTGCCCTGAGGCCAAACCCAATGGAGCTGCCTGCGGAGTTCAGATCACATCGGAGGCGAGACACCCATTTGGCCATTTGCTCTTCGCTTCGCCAGTTGCCACAGGATGGTCTACGATGCAGAGGCCATGCCGGCCCATCTTTTGCAGTACAGCTCTTTTCTTTATCCGCAGTGTGTTGCTTCTCAGACACAAATTGGTCAGGCCACGCAGAGGCCATGAAATGCTGGAGTTTGGGCGAGCGAGCAATCAAATCTTATTGAGACTTGAGCGGTTGACCAGCGATTGGTTCCATCTCGGATGGTGCTATGACGCTGCGGCAAATGAGGGCAATGCCTATTTGAGGCCCTGACTCCAACAGGTCCTCAACACGGCCTTTGTCCAGTGACGCTGCGCACCGCAGAAGCACCGGGGTGGGGCGGATGGCTCGGCGAAGTTTGGCACGTGTGGCATGTGGGAACGTGGCGCAGACTTTGTGTGCATTATGCTGTCCAACTCGACCCAGGTCCTGCCTGGACATGAGCCTCAGTGATGGTGAGGCGGGCGATTCGGCTTCAGCTCCAATGTGAGTTGCGTGAGGGGCGTACGGCCGAGGCCCAAGATCAAGTACGCACACGCCTGCGTTCTGGACGGAGCACTGGAGTTCGTGGAATGCAGCAGGCTGGGGCGGCTTTTCCACTGGCGCAAAGTGGTGCTAGCGAGGCCAGACCCGAGACGCTGGACGAAAACCCGTCTGGCGAGGCTGGGGAAGCTGTTCCTTCAAGGATGCATGTAGCAACCAATGTATCCACTAAGCCGGTGCAATATTGTGTCAATGCTTCTCACATTGGTTGGTTGTAGTGACAGAAGTGCCTTGCTAGTGATCCTGGAAAAAGCCTGCATTGAGACGCGTGCCATGCCACAGAAATGCGCCTGCAGGTTACACTGGCACTGGAGACAAAGTTGCCTTGACAGGAGTCTGCTGATGGTTTTCCATCAGAGAGGCGCTCAAAGCGGCTGGAGTCCGAGTGTCCAAAGAGCAAACCGTCAAGAACTGCAATAAGGTTGCACGAAAGAAGTCTAAGCCGTCTCATTCTGACCCAAGGCGCATATCTCCCCCAGGGGCGAGCGCGAACACAACGCTGGCTACGGGGCTGACAAACGCGCCGGCAGAAGAGTGCATGGAGGCTGGTGGCCTTTCAGTATGGAATGAGACACAAGAGGAGTGGATTCCAGAAACAGAGAAAGCATTTCAAACATTTGCTCTTTCTGAAAGTCGAATGACATGAATTCTGAACCATTCAAAAGCAGTCTTGAAGCGCAGGAATTGGATCTTGCATCCGGGCGAGTCTGGGATTGTTTTCCGATTGGGAGGCTGCTTGTGGCATGACCAAGCGCGGCAAGCAAAGCGAAGGATCTAAGGACAGATAGAAACAGATAGAAACAGATAGGAAGAGATAGGAAGAGATGTGTACGCGTCGGATACGCAGGAGTATCGCCGCGGCGGCCCTGGGCCTTGGGACCCGCTTCCCACTGGCGCCTCGAAGAAGGACGGCTGGGGCAGGCGGGGCCTAGCAAGTCGCGATGAGTCAGGCAATGAGTCGAATGAATCTGAAGGTTAAGTCCGCGCCAGCCACCTCCTCACACGCCTCGGGTGCCATTTGGCACGCAAGGCAATGCTGGGCAAACCGCCGCTTGACACAAGGGTTGAGTGCGCACGCGAGGGTGGAGTGTGCAGACGGAGTGCGGTGAAGTCTGAGGTGAAGCGCTTTTACTCGGCCCCGCCGCTGCCGTATGGATCAGAAGCTGACGTGCCTGAGCCGCAGCTTGGCTCACTGGAGTTGGATGGAACCGGAGATCGTCACAGCGGAGTGTCGGAAAGAGCTGAGCTCAGGAGCGTGCCTCCTCAGTCTGGCATCCCGCTTGGCTTGACCGTACCGAGTCCATGGCTCAACTGTCCGACTGTCCGACAATCCGACCCGACCATGGCATCTCCGAGGTGCCAGGGACAATCCTTTTCCAGAGGTGCCCCAAGTGCCGACAGGGACGCTTCACCGCGTCGCTGCCAGGTCGAGTCGATGTCACCTAGGAGCACGGGCGGTTCTGTTTTTTGCTTGGGAATTTGCCGATGTGAGGAGAGAGGGCAAGGCCAAGGCCTGCCACGAGACTATATAGAGATTTGAGAGATATTTGAGATATTTGAGCAAGATGTCGCTGTAGGATCCCTCTCCCGTAGGCACTCTCAAAGCCGCGATGCATCTCAGCAGAGCGCATTGGAAAGTCTCTTATGTGACCTGGCTGCAGCCGGCTGCCAACTGACCTGGCATGTCCTTCACTGCTCCCAGAAACGGGCCAAGGTCTTCTGAGTTTGTGGCCAGGCGGAATTCTGCACCACATCAAGTGTTGTCTCAGCGTGTGACCATGTGCCAGGCAACGTCAGTCAAGCCGCTTGAGAGGCATTGCAAGTTGCACTTGCAAAGATTCGTAAGCCGCAAGTGCATGAATCTGATGACAGGCGGTGCTTCTCGTTTGCCTGGCACCAAGTGAGTTGCGCCATGCGGCTTTGCTTCCAAAGTCTCCCCCGTTTTTCAGCCAGCTGGTCAAGTGGACAGGTGCTCGGGTGGCAATCTGGCGCCCTGCTTGAATCGGCCACATGAGAGGACGGAATTGGAAGTTGCCTGCCACTCGATTCGGGTTCTTTCGGTTCTGGAGCCGGGCTAGGCGGCTAGTTGCTCCTCTCAGGATCTCTGGGGTCAAAGCCGTGGGTGCAGGCCGTTGAATTCAGTGGAGACTTCCATGCAGCTAGACGCAGCTAGACGCAGGTCAAGCGAAGGCAGACATCTCGGCCCCCAGTGCACGCTTGGACGAGGCACTGGTACTGTCAGACGTGTGAGACGTGTGAGACGTGTGAGACTCCACGAGGCATACAACAAGTGCTTGCAGTCCCTCCACGCTGAGATTGAGCAGCTGCAGTCGCGGTCCGCAGCTCCCCTCCGAGAGAGCCATCAGCCTGGAATTGTGGAGGTCCATGCGTCTTGAAAGAGAAGTACAGAAGACCAAGAATCAGCTCCTTGTCATAAAGATGGTTGCCGATGATCGAGTCCATGCACAGCTCGGGTCACCTGCCCCGAGGAACGGAGTGTTGAAATGTCAACCAAACACAACTCCTCAGGCCGGACCCGCTCTTTGAGTCTAGTCAGGTCGAGCCACTGTCCTTGTCCAGGCCCAGCCCGGTATGACACCAGCGTAGAATTCGGCGTGGGCGCATTCCGAGCTCGCGACCAGGCTCGTCAGCCTTTCCAAGGCTTCTTCGCCAACGTTCCCTTCGCGACTAAGTTCGCGCAAAAGGCAGCGTGTGGTGTATGGTGCATACCATTTGCCGGGTGCCTTCAAACCGATTGCAAGCATGATCTGGGTGTTTCACTGGGGCTTCAAGCTCTTTGAGCGAATGAAAAGCAATGCCGTTCCGAGACTCACATGAAGCAGCACTGGATGGCACCTGATTTGCAGCAAGGCTTCAAAGCTGACAGTTTCCTACCGATGCTTGGTTCCCACTTGCCAGTTTCCGATTCACGGTGAGATTGCCAGCGTGCGCCCTCGCACCCGTTCCATCCGTTCCATTGGCGACTCGCTCGCCGTGCCATGGACGCGTCCATCGAGGGTCTGGTGAAGGCCCTGGGCGGCGGCGTCGGGGCTGTACCGCCGCCCTGCTTAGCGAGTGCAAGTGTTCAATTTTGAAAAGCGTTGCCAGCTTCATGCCTTAGTTACTTTAGCCGCCAGTTGTTCTCCACGACCGTGCTTTACCCGTTGGAGGCCGGGGAGCGCCGAACGCCTTGCGTGTTTCCGGAATCGGTTTCTGGGGTACTCACAGTGCCACTTCGGCATTGGTTGCTTCTTTGCAGTCTTGGCGGGTGCGTGTGTGCGTACATATATATATATATATACATATATATATATATATGGTGACCCCCCCCCAGGGCCTACCTTTCCTCTCTTCCAGTTGAAGGTGTCAAGTCTACTCCGTGTGCCTCGTTCTTGCAGATGCCTGCAAACACTGTAAAATACAGATTCATTGTTGCTGTTTTACCTTCTATATGACAGCAAATGTTTGCGTTGTTTCAGCTTGAAATGCAACAAAGCGAAAACGGAATCCGTTTTCAGATTCGAGTCTGGCTTTGTTTGAAAACACTGGTGTTTACAGTGGTTTTGAGTACACCAGGGAAACACATTGAAAACTTGATGTTTTTTGCCGCTTTGAGCTCTGCAACCTGCACAGACCCAAAGGCACAAAATCTTCTGAAAATGAAAGCTCGAAGACCTGCGCGCGCTAAACAAATCTCCAGACCAATTTTGGGTGTTTGGGGGCATTTGCCCATTATTTGGTTAGCCACATTTAATCTAAATCATACCAGGGAATGAGTTGCTATTAGAGTTTGTTTGCAAAGGCCCGGTGGTTTCTTTCAAGATTAAGCCCTATTCCAACTCAAGTCATATTTGGGAAGGGATTCTTGGTTAATATCTTATGTTCACAGGCCAATGTAATTCTGTTTGCATTAAAGTATATTCAAACTTTACTGAAATATGTTTTTTTCATGTGGAAAGGTATTCTTATTCAATTTCTGCTTAAACATAGACGTTATGCTGAATTTTCAATTGTGGTGAACGATGTCCTTACTAAATTCTATTCAGTATTCGAATTTAATTCGGAGCAAAATCTTATGTGGAAAGGAATCTAATATTGGACATGCTGGAGGACTCCAGGCTCCAAATTATGAGGCTTGGAGAATCCAACATTAGACATGTCGATGATTCTGATCTCCAGATTCTAGGTTTCAGGTGTTTCAAAATGGACATGTCAAGGGATTCGAGGTCCAACAACATGCTGAAAAACGCAGTGTTTTGCAGAAATTGCAGCGGTTGTGTTCCCTTGGACCGAAGATTGTTTTTTCCCAAGCAACACTTTTTCCCCATAAGCGTACATAAGGTTTGTAAACTTGCAGGACAGTTTATAAACCTTCTTGAGTGCTTGGCGTTTTCCTGTAACAAGGCAGCACCTGGGAAGTTTGCATTCGGTGCGGGGCGGGACCCCCCTGTCCCAGACTTCTTAGCCTCCCCCCAGGTGCCCAGGTGTTGCCTTGTTGCAGGGAAACCGTCAAACCCTTGACATAGTTTATGAACTTTCTTGAAAGGTTATAAACTCTTCGCTGTTGTTGCTCGGCAGACTTGTCACCCACACAAAATCTGCAAGAACAGCGCACTTCCTGCATACATGTGCTCACAGCCCCTGTCTTTAAAATAAAAAAGGATTTTGTACATTTTGAAGTGGAAAGGTAGGCTCTGCGAGGGGTAGGGGAGGGAGCATATATGTATATACACACATATCTATATATATATTATATGTATATAGTCCAACCCAAAAAACCGACCTTTTCCACAATGCACTGTGCATTTCCAGTGTTTTCACTAAAGCAAGGTCTCCTCGAGTATGTCATTATGCATTTTTGCAATTCCTTTTGCACATGGATGGGATCTTGTCAGTTTGCAAAATGATGCATTCAATGTTGCAGGTCTGAATGTTGCGTTGGTATAGGATGTTGAGAACATACGGGGTTCATGATTTGGTAAATGTCTTTTGGCGTTGCAGGTTTGTCAGTTCGAGGTTGAAACATGTTACACGACCTGTCAGACAAAATGTTGCGCAACATGTTGGGCGCAGAGACATAGATGCAGACACAGCATTACACAGAAGATTGAAACAATACACAGATAGATACAGATGGACACAGACAGACCCTGACACATAGATGCCAGAAATAGACACCTATGTTTGCAGGTCACAAAGACCAAAGTGGCAAGCTCGGACTTACACAGCTTTCAGACCTCTGCAGAATTCGCATTCGAGCCCTTGTGTCTAGGTCCAGGCTTTTGCGGGAAACGCCAGCACAGATGAAGAAGATGACCTGCGGAAGCGTCAGGCTGCCTTGTTTACATGAGTCTGGAGAAAGCTTGAGCCGGAGGCCATGGCCAACACTTTCTCGGCTTTGGCGTTCACTTGGAGAAAGGATGGGCCGAAGTCGTTGCTGGCTCCTTGGGCACCTGGCTGGGGAAGCACCTGTGTGGACCAGTTTGTGTTCAACTTCGTGTATTATTACTTTTACGAATTCTTCATCGGTGTCTACAAGCGGGTGGCGGGCCGCATCGGCTACCGCGCCAACATGGTCCTGGCGACTGCTGCAGGCGCCGTGATGCAACTCACCACCCTGCCGCTTCAAAACCACTCCACGCGTATGCAGACGCAGAAGGATGCGCGCGGCAACTGGGCCACGGCCGTGGCAATGTACCGAGAGGAGGGGCTGGAGGCCTTCTACAAAGGTCTGCTGCCCTGCCTCCTGCTGTCTGTGAACGCCTCCATCCAGGACACCATCTATGACGGCATCAAGGAGGCCTGGCTCCGGCGCCGCAACCGGCAAGCCGCGCAAGCCGCGCAAGCCGCGCAAGCCGCGCAAGCCGCGCAAGCCGCGCAAGCCGCGCAAGCCGCGCAAGCTCTCAGGAAGGTACAAGTGGGGCTTGCTGCTGGCCAGGCCTTTTGGCTTGGGCTGGGCAGCAAGCTGATTGCATCCACCCTTTGCTATCCGCTCACGAGGATCAAGCAGATGTGCCAAGCGCAGACTAAGCGCTCGAAGAACCGAGAGCCACAATCCAGACCTCTTAGCATGTTTGAGATGGGGCTCAAAGTCTGGAAGGAGGATGGGTGGAGAGGGTTCATCTATGGGATCGAAGGTCAAGTCTGCAATGCATCGGTGAAGGCTGCTCTCAATCGAATGGTCAAAGAGCGAATCCAGCTCCTGATCTTCGCTTTGCTATTTCCACAACGTCTCCGGCAGATGCGGGCGACTGCTCTTGCACAAGCTCAGCCAAAAGTGTAAAAAACTGGTCCTTGAGCAAATCTTGCCATGCACCTTGCATCATTGTGTTGGGCAATTGGATCTTGTTTGGAGCTGCGCAGCCTTTGTGACCTCGCGTTTACCCTGGTTTTGTGGCTTAGCTGGGCATGCGGCCGACTTGCCAGAGACATTCAAGACAACGTGCGTGAGAAAGTCAGCGGCAAGACAGACAAGCAGCTGACACCCAAGGCAAGCTGAACCCCTCCCCCCCTGACTTCGCATCCGACCTTCTGTTCCCCGTGTCACGACACTGCCAGAAATGGCTCCAAAAAAGGCACAGCAGGCAGTGCACAAAAGAGAGGGAGAGAGAGAGAGAGACAGAGAGAGATAGAGGGAACAATGAGTCAATTCGTGATGTGAGTGGAAGAAACAAATGGTTCCAACTTTTCTGGCGTGCTAGGCCAAGAAGGTCCCGAAGAAGGCTTGCACATGTTGCTCAATCGGCTTTTGAGAGAGCTTGTTGGATCAGGTAGCGAAGCGGCCCGAGGACGGTCAGAGTTTTTGAATTCCTCGTAGCCACTGTCGATAGCGACGGTCTGCCATGTACAATCCAATAGGGACAGTAACTGCGTCAAACAGGGTGCAACGCAAGCCTGGAGAGAGCAGAGCAAAGCGCTACAAAACACCATCAGACGGCATTCGTCAACTTAGAATCACGGCCCGACACTTCAAGCGCAGAGCAAAACTGGGAGTGTCGGGGCACTGAATGGAGCCGTACCCACAGAAAAGTTTCGTAAACTGGCTCAAAAGCTTGGAGAAGTGCGCCGTAACACAACAGGAGAAGTTGCAATTGCAACCACATCAATCTTGCAATTGCCGCGCAGACCTAACGTCAGCACAGGCCAACGCAACTTCGCGAATCAAAAAGCCGTGAGCGGCAAAACGGCGAGACAAGCCCGAGGGCGGTCAGAGTGGGTCACTGCTTGCGCGCACAAAGCGCAAGCGCACTGAGGAGTCCACAGAAAGCCCGCGCGCACCTCGGGATTCTCACATGCTGACGCTTCAGACTGTGAGTGACATCTTAGTGCAAGGCGCCGTGTGGCAGCCCGCCGAGAATCTCAGGAGCCTTGAAGCCAAGAGCTCAATGAGGAGCTCAGTGACGGCTGATTGCAGGAGTCTCCTCAAGTCAGCCGGACCGCCCAGAGGTTGGAAGGTCCGCGCTTTGTGCGCTGACAGAGGCACTCCCAGCCCGTCGCACGCCGTGGTGAAGGCGTCGCCTGCGAGGCCCGTGGGCAAGTGGAAAGTGGCAAAGTGGCAAAGTGGCATCGACCGAATTCGGAATGGATCGGAAAGTCGGAATCCCCGGAGGCTCCGAGTGCAGTTCCGGCCTGACGCCGCCAGGGTCTGAGATGCAGCCTGAGCCGCCGAGCGCACGCGCATTGCCAGGGAGCGAGCAGCCTGGAGCAAGGTGCGGAGACCTGGCGGCAATTTGCATAACGCCATGCCCAGGCCTGGTGCGCTTGCGGCGCAACAGCCGGCTTTGTCGCGCACCCTGAGCCTAGTGGCCTGATGCCTGAGTATGCCTGAGCCTGGCCTGAGGTGATGTCAACATCCTGTCTGGCTTTGGGAGCATTCCGGCGCATCGAGCGGTTCGCCGCCGAGTGTTTGCTGTTTGCTTGTAGCGGCCGGGTGAATGAGCTGAAATGTCACACTTGCCTGTATCAATCTGTATCAAGCACCTTTTTGAAGCACATGGGGATGCTTTCACTCACTTGGGACGCTGAGAAAGGCAACGCAAGACAGTCACAATCCCATTCTTCACTGCTCACCCACACTTCACTGCCGATGCACACCCTGTGTGACAGTCAGTGAAAGCTTGAGTAAGCTTGCTTCGTTTGCACAGTGTAAAGATTCTGGATAATTGACTCTGCCTGTCATTCTGAAGCAGCCAAGCGGCACATTCGCAATGGTAGAAGGAGATGGCTGCCACAGAATTGCGGCACAGCACAGGAAGCAGCTGGTGGGGAGAAGGATGACAGCAAGGTCGCCGAACGGGCGCTTCAAGTCAGGGGCACAAGCCATCGTGAAGTGTGGCGGAGTTCTTCTGAAGATCGAGGTCCATGGGAAGAACATGTTCTACTTCTTTGGGTCGAAAGCAGGCGGCATGATTGTCGTCCATGTCCACTTTGGGATGGCTGGTGCCTTTGCTGTCTACAAAGGTGAGGAGCCGGAGATATCAAAAAATGTGCGTTTACGGCTTGCGACGGTGGACAGTGGCGCGCAGCTGGTGGCGCACTTGTCTGCCATGATCGTGAAACATGGCGTCTTGGACATGCAAAGTCAAGACAGGGCAGAAAAGACAGGCAAGATGTAAGTAGACGTGAAAGACACGAAAGACAGGAAAGACATTAACAGAGGTGAGGCCCCCAGACTCGACATGCGCTCCCAGGCAAGCCGGCGATGTACACCAGCCTGACCGCGAAGCTTGGGGCAGACCCACTGCGTGAAGATGCGGATCCTGAGCAGGTGGTGGCAGCTTTTGGGTGCAACAAGCCGGTGGGCACTGTTCTGGTGGACCAATCCGTGTGCGCGGGTGTGGGGAACATCTATCGCACAGAGATCCTCTATGAGGCGAGAATCCATCCTAAGCAGCCGGCCAACACCTTGACCCTGGCTGAGATCCTGAAGCTGTGGAATGTAGCGGTGAAGCAGATGCAGGCCGGCTTCACGACAGGATCCATTTGGGGCACGAAGCGCAATGCCTTCTGCTACGGCAAGAGAACTTCATCCTGCGGGGGCAAGGTGAAGCAGTTCAACTTGGGTGGCCGGGCTGTTTATGCCTGCAGCAAGCGCCAGCAGCTGGATTCCAAGAAAGCAGCAGCCACGAAGCTTCGGCGCCCTGGAACTTCTCACTTGGACAGCTTTGTCGCAGCTGTGAAGGCCTGAGCCCAAAATAGCCAACATAATCCGGTGGATTCTCTTTCAAGCATAGATGGATGTGTTTGACACAGGCACATCCAAATGTTTCAAGCATGCTTTCTGCACATGCACCTTCTTTTCATCTCAACTTTGCCTTTGATACATTCGGAATCTGATTCGCTCTCTCCTCTCTTCCCTCCTTCGTTCATTGAATCGTTTCGGATTTCGGACTGTAATTTCAATCGGACTTGTGCAAATTTTCAGCCGATTCGATTCGCTTCGATTCGCTTCGATTCGCTTCGATTCGATTCGAGGCCGAGGCCAAGAAGCGCCGCACGGGCGAAGGCCTCGGAGTGCAGCACGTGGCCCTCAAAGACGACGCCACGAGGCTCCGGCCCGCCGCGTTTCCCGCGTTTCCCGCGTTTCCCGGGTTTCCCGGGTTTCGGGTCCCGGGTTTCGTTCCATGGTTTCGCTCTTTCGACGACTGTCTGGACTGTCTCGACTCCAGTCTTACTTTTCACGTTCCGAAGGCGCTTCTTTTCAAATAATTTATGAGGCGTTCGACTCACCGGGATTGCATTCAGGACTGAGGTGTCTCTTCTTCTCCCTCTTGGAGTCTCAGCTTGTGTTAGCGCAATTAATGAACGCTTCCAGCCCAGGCATGGGGTGGAAATCCTGGCCTTAAGAGGCCAAGAGGCATCCTTGAAGTGGCGTGAGCTGTCCGATACTCCTACGCCTCCACTTGTATTTGGTCAGGGTCACGTGCTCTGTTCATGCTTTGCCGCAACCATCAAGTAAAGTACATACAGAGCACAGCAATGGCCCGATTGAATGCTGCATCATATGCCTTAAGCTTAGTCGTGGCAAGCTGTTCTCCTGCCTCCCATGTAGAAGTGGCGTGGTGAGAGCGTCTATGGACTTTCGTAGAAACGAGCGGTCCGCCGTCGCAAGCTTGCTTGTCCGAGACCGTGGTTGCCCTTGGAAGCTGGCAAATAGGATGACTCAGACCGAATCTCACCTGTTAATGTTGGGTGAGAATAAGAAGGGAGATGAAAGCAAAATATGAAGAACGGGCTGGGAAAAGTAACTAGAAAGCCAGCCCATCTTTCTCTTCCCTTGCCTACCTTTTCGCACGGCAAGGACGAAGAAAAAGAAAGGGAAGAGAGGAGAAAGGGACAGATGGATGACATTCCTTCTCTCGTCATCCTGTTCCCTTTCCATCTCTTTATCTCTTCTCGCATATCTTCACCCTTTCTAGAATGAGCAGCTAAACAAGGTTGGTTGGGCAGGGGGCTGTTTAGTCTTGAACTTTCCACCCCTGGTGCGCCCGCAGGCAAGCAGCTCAAAATCTGGTAGGCCTTACACCTTCCTATCCCTTCCTCTTTCCTTCATCCTATCTCACTCCCTTCCGTAGGACAAGGAGCCAGAGAGAGGAAGGAAAAGAGACGGGAAAGAAGAAAGGGAGAGATGGATGGATGAGAGCAGACATTTCTTTCTCCAGCTCTTTCAATCTCTGTCTCTCGCTAATTCCCTTTCACTGGTCCAAATTGGACGGATAGAGCTTAGGGATTCGGAAACAAGAATTAAGGGAAATGGTGACTATATGAGATTCCTTTTCGTCGCCCACCATACTCTTATTCCTTTGTCCCAGCCCGGAGAAATAGGGCTGGAATAGACAGATGAGGGCGACCAATAGAAATATCTTACTGTCGCCTTATCCCATTCATCGCGGGCAAATGATAAATCTCTTGGATGCCCGCGGCCTATTCGTTTCGCGAGCGAAGAGGCGGGAAAGCCATGACCAGGGGATGAACGAAGCTAGTCCCCTTCCTTTCGTATCCGTTCCTTTCCTCCTTCCCTGCCAAGAAACGCAGAGGGGAGGATAAGAGAAGGATATAGAAAAAGAACGGACATGGCACGCGAACTGTAATAAAGTAGCTATGGGGAGACGAGTGAAAGCGAGTCGTGTCATTCCTCTTCTCACTCTCTGCACCTTCACTGAGAGAACTGTCAGCACCCTACGGCATGCTTGAAGAAGGAGAAACACCATTTCTCCATTTCTCGATTCATCCGCTCTAACGGAGCTCAACTGTGCGAGCGCGGCTATGCGGTACAAGTGAAACACCCTACTGCCAGAGCCGATCCAGCGGACCGACCCGCTGAACCGGAACCGACATGTGCGGCACCAGTGCTGCCGGGGGAAGGCTGCGCATCCCACGAGACCCCCTGCGCACTGCAGCTCCGGGCAAATTTGCCCGCATCCAATTGTCCACCGTCTGAAAGCGAACTTCCGACCAGCACACTGCGAAGCAATGAGACCACGGGCATACGACCAGGCTCCGTGGTCTGACGTGCCCGGTGTGATACACAACACCCAAAGATTTCCACACGGCGACAAGCATGCGCCTGAACCAACGAGATCTCTGAAGGACACTGTACTGCGGGAGAGCACCATTCGGCGCGAGAGTAGGTTCGGACCACTTTCCAGTTGAGGGGCAGTGGACTGGGCCTTGCAGGCCGGTAGCCATCTGGAAGTCAACTAGGAGTTGGACTGGTGTGACCCAACACAAATCACCACTGGTAACGGCGGCTTGCCACCAGCTGTAGGCAGCATCAACAAGAATAGCGCCAAAGCGCGCCCGAACGTTGTGCAGGCGTGCAGCCTGCAAAATCGGTATGTGCGGAGGCACTGGACTGAGCTGCACGACAGCTGGCGCGGGTTCCTGCTCATGCTGGCGAGCTGCAAGGTGTGTGGCATGCCTACCAACCGCTACAAAATACTTGTGTATCTCCGTGGTGAGACGCTCCGCATCTTGAAGGCTATGGAGAACTTCAGCCTGCGTGGCCAAGAACACAGCAGACCGCCGACGGTTGCAATCACCTGCGGCGAGATCAACAGTGGAGTTGTGCTTGACGGCCCACTCTTCAAGGGGACTGAGGGCTTGCTGCTGATCAGTATGAGCAGCAACCTTGTTGATCCGAAAAGCATACGGGCCAAGAATATTCAGGCAATGCAAAATGCGATACCACAGGTCACTGTCTGGCGAGTTGGGCGAAATGACATCGCCTGCTTGCACGCGTCGCGCTTTGTTGAGCACAACTTGGCAATCGGTCCAAACATTGAGTGGCCTTGACGCTGCAACGGCAATTTCCAACGCAGCGCGCACTGCATACGTTTCAGCACGGCTTGCTGTCTGAACGAGGCCGGCAAGGTGGCCTTCAGCAATAATCTCCCCACACCAAGGGTTGGTCTGGTCAACCATAAGCACAGCCCAGGCAGCAAACCTGGCCCGAGGCCACGTCGGAAACAAAGCCGACCCATCCGTAAAACAAACCAAAGGAGATGTACCGGGCAGGTCGCGACACCATGTGTGCGTGGGCATCAGCAAAGTGCCTGCCGCGCAGAGGAGTTGCTGCCAGAAATGCTCATCAGGTGGCACAGTAGGCCATCCGCGGACGGCCCAGCATTCCGGGAGCTGTGGTATCCGCCGCAACACGTCCTCGGGAAGGCTGGCCCGAATGGGAGCAAAACCCCGGCAACCCCAGTGCCGGTGATGCACGCTGTCAGGTGCCTGGCAGAACTCACACAGGGGCGGCTGGTCGGGGTTCATGTGCGAGGCGGCATCATTGGTGAAAAAGGTGCCTGTAAGGACGATCCGTAGGAGGGCTTGGTCCTCCTGCGACAGGGCGGCTAAACACTTCCGGGCGACAAGAGGGTCAACCTGGTTGAACCCTTGGAAACCTTTGCGATGCTGCACTTGATGCCCAATTTTTTCTCCCCAAGATTTTCGCATGCGAACCTCGAGTTCTTGCCATGGGGTGTCCAAAAGGTGAAAGACACCAATGGCATCCCTGACTAGGCCATCGGGCTGCACAACCCAATTGAGCAATTTCAACCGCTCGAGAAGGACTTTACCCGGCCCCACCCGACAGTTAGACTCCCGGGAGTGAACATGGACCCACAATTGGTCACCGGCATGGGCCCGAAAGTCCCGTAGTGTGGCGCGAATGACAAAGAAGGCGGGGTCAGCTACTGGGTTCTCAACCAGTCCTAGATGGACCACTGGACTGGTCCCTGGTTTCCGACAACGCAGACCCCGAAGGGCATCGGTGCGGAGTTTGGTGAAGTGGTCCTCACCAATGTGCACGACCGAGGCGCCATGGAGCGCTCTGGGCCAAGCGGCAATGGCCAACGCAAGCACTTTCCGGTGATATGGCGCACACGACACTGCAAGCTGGGTCCACAAAGGCTTGACGGCTCGGACCCGGTCTACCAAAGTTGCATTGGTAACTTGCCGGCAGTACTGCATGTGGGCTCCAAGGTCGCGTGCGTGAAGGCGGACCTGATATCTGCCCTTACGGAGTTCGGTTCGGTGTCTTGGCTGGCAAGCCCAAGTGTATGTTTTCTGGTCATCGATGCTCAGGTCCATGGAGGTGGCAAAACTGCGAAAGGCCTGATCGGCCTGGTCAACTGAGACAGGACACGACCCCAGAAACTGGATGTTATCAACGTATGTGATCGTGCGTATGGTGGGGGAGTTGAGCTTCATGTGAATCGAAAGGAGTTGATTCACGAGGATCATGGCGAGGCATGAAAGACCACACCCCTCTGGGAAACCGGTGCACGACCGGATGGAGGGGCCTACACTGCCTCGAATTTTGAAGCGTCGCTCCATAAGGGTCAGAGCCCCTGCCCAACCACGAATGACTCCCGGCGGAATACCGGAATGCGCAGCCGCTGCGAACACTGGGTCTCTGGGCAAACAGTTGAAACACTTGGTGATGTCAGCAACCAGTCCACACAAAGGCTTGGCCTGGTCCGCGGCTTCTTCTATTTCGGCCATGGTGGACCACCACACTTGGCTCGCATACCTATGTGGCAGATTGCCGTGAGCATTGGGATCGATGTGCGGTGCAAGCTGCTGAATGAGCTGCCGCGCTCTGATGGAACCCCAAATGCGATATAGGAGCCCAAACACCACAATGGGCCGGTAAGACCCCACGGAGTCTGGGCAATCATGCTTTTCCAAGGAATTCACAAGACCGGTAACCAACTGCTTGCCACTACTTTCAGCTTGCGTGAGAAGCTGCGCGGCTTGATCTAGCGCAGCCTTTGGCAGGCGCATGATATCCTGACGGGAAACCCCATCTGGGCCTGAAGCGGCTTTGCGCCGCTTTCGCCTGGCTGCACGATAAATGGAGTCCCCAGTAATGGCAGGGAGCGACTGGCAAACTGGAGGCATGTGGTCCCTAGCAAGGTCAGCGAGGGCAATCCATCTATCAGGCGGAACATCCACATGCTTGTTCCACCTGGCGGACCACTCCTTTGCAAAAGCTTGGAACATATCATGGAGGGAACCAATTTTGGTCTCTTGGGTGAGTTGGTCT